TATTGACTGTAACTGATTACAGGACTGTCTCCTTCATTTTCAAACTGAGCATGCAGAGGCAACTGGAGGCGTGGGCAACTGAAAAAACATCACTCAGTCCAAGGGCAGATAGGCTGTGTTAACCCAGCATTGGACTCTCCTCACAGTGCCCTGAGAACGACTGTTCAGGTAAGCCAACGGTCTTTTGTTTAAAAAAATATCTGCATAAAGGTTTCTTAAATGGCTGCATTCGGAATATACTTATGACACCACCTCCAGTATGAAGCATATTAGTTAGAACATAGAATAAAAGAGTTGGAAGGGAGCTTGGAGGTTTTCTAGTCCAACCCCCTGCTCAAGCAGGAGGCCCTATACCAGTGTTGGCGAACCTTTTTGGCACCAAGAGCCTGGGCCTGGGTGTGCTAGAAACCAGAAGAGCAGCTGCCTGGTGTGCATGTGCATGCCAAGAAGATGATCTTCTGGTTTCCAGTGCACGCATGCACACGGGCCAGCTGGTTTTCGTGGATGCATGGGTGCCAGAAACTGGAAGACCAGGTGGCCGATGAGCATGTGAAAACCAGAAGATCATTTCCCAGCATGTGCATGCGCACCGGGCAGCTGCTCTTCCAGTTTCTGGCGCTCCCACGTGTGTGAAAACCAGCTGGCCAGCATGCCGGAACCTGGAAGTGCAATGGGGGATGGCTCGCGTGCCTGGAGAGATGGCTCTGTGTGCCACCTCCGGCACACGTGCCATAGTTTCGCCATCATGGCCCTATAACATTTCAGACAAATGGTTGTCCAGTGTCTTTTTTAAACCCTCTAGTGATGGAGACCCACAACTTCTGTAGGCAAGTTCTCTATGGGTTGCCTTTATATTGTGGGATGGGTAAGAGTGGGCTGTCATTGGCTGTCCTATTTTCCCCTTACAATATGGCAGAAATTGGGTCTTGTTGCAAAGTAGCAATACATCTGGCTAAGCTTTTGTAGCTGAAATTGAATGGAAAGTCATTGAGGTGTCTATAAATGGAAGAAAATGGATAAATGTCATCAGTTGATCTTATCAGGATTGTATGGGTCTTCTGCTATAATGTTGGTTGAATTCAACAGTCAAAATGTAATTATTCACCTAGGGCAAGATGGTGTTTTACCATTAAAATAAAAAGGGAATGATATAAACCTCTTAATTAGAGGAAGTTTGGTACAGATTGTTTTTAAGGTGACTAACTGGATTTTTTTTCACCTATTTGTTTGGGCTTTTTGTTGTAGTAATAAACTACAGCTCTGGATTGTGTTCATGCTTGATAAATGAATGTGTGTCCTCTTAATAAAAGCTGAAGGACATGGTACACTAGTCTATATTATTTCACTCAATACAGAAATCCTGTAATTGATAACAATACCAGATTATGCTTGCAATTTTCCTAATTAGGAAAAGTGTATAACATAAATAGCATGATGAACCCTCCTTTCCAAATTGGTAACATGAATGGAAAGAGCTATTTATTTATCTATTTATTTAATTATTTATTTACTGGACTTATAGGCCCCAGCAATCTTTTATGACTGGGCAACTTTCAAAATAAAACAATAAAAAAGCAAAGATTAAAACAAAGAATTCCATTGTCCAAATAAAAAAAAGTCTGGAAAAATACAACCATCATTCAGGAAACCGAAATTTCACACGAGGGATCTATTCCCTACTCTGGCTCTAAGCCATCTTTTTAGGGCTTGTTTAAGTAGGGCTGGGGTGGGAGCCATAAGAATTTGGGGAGGTGGGGTAAAGGGCAAGAATGAATAAAGTTGAAAATTTATTACTGCTATCTTGGAAATTTATACCTTACTGTTGTTAGGATTGTATCTTCCATTGTGTCCATTGTGAACTTGTAAATCTGCATGTATGCACTATTAATGTTCTCTATAATCTTTATTATTTGAAGGCTTACTATGTGAAGAAAATATAAATGAATGCAATTCAAATCCTTGTCTGAATAAAGCAGTCTGTGTTGATGATATTAATTCTTACCACTGCTTGTGTCCAGAAGGCTTCACAGGTCAGTCTATTTTATTGATGACCCTCTTCTAATATTTCATATAGCTCTCATGATGTTTTGAATTACTTGCAAGATCTTAAAAAAAGAGGGTTTTTATTTTTCAGTAAAAAAATGAGAAGTCTGTGGCATTAAAAAAAATGACAATATTTTTAGCAATTAATTAATATATTAGTAAATTGATTCTTCAATCTCCAGCAAATTTGTTATATTGCGTACCTACTTCAGGATTGTTTAAAAATGTATTTGACTAATTAACTTTTTTTTCATTTTCATTCTTTTTAATGTATCCAGAATCTATAAAGTTCAGAAATTACCTGGTGCTGATAACGTCTTTATTCCTTTTTTCCTTCTCAGGTACTCACTGTGAAGCAGAGGTAAATGAATGTCTTTCAAATCCCTGCTTCAACAAAGCTACCTGTGAAGATCAGGTTGCAGGTTTCCATTGCAAGTGCTTGCCTGGATTTATTGGTGCTCTGTGCGAAAAAAACATTAATGAATGTCTCAGTAGACCTTGTAAAAACGGAGCCGCATGCAAAGATGGAATCAATGGTTATAGGTAAAAAGATGTATGATATAGCTCTGAAGATATGTAAAGGTTTTAATAACGCCAATACAGTGTGTCTGTTTGTTTACTTGCTTGCTTGCTAAAGAACCGAAGTAGCTATCCCTTAGGGCAGGGATGTCAAACTTGCGGCCTTGGGGCCACACATATTGTGTGCTGGCCATGCTCACCCCTGTTTTAGCGAAGGGGGAAAGTCGTGATACATCATGTGACGACAACGTGACGCCGCATGTTTGACACTCCTGCCTTAGGGCCTAAATTATACCAGAATAACTGTTTTTGGACTCCTATCTCTCTAAAGTTATACATTAACTTTTCCTTTTGCCTTATAAGTATCTACTTCTATAAGTGAACATATCTCTAAGACACTATTAGTGCCTTAATCCACTAATGGAGCTATGGTCTCTACTGACTGAGTCTACATTCTTTTTTTCTATCCAATTTTTTGGCACTCTAGGTTTTTGTATTTTCACTTATTTTCACTTTATTTACTCTGGCTTACATGTCATTCCAGTCACAGATTACTTCCATATACAGTAATTGGATTAAAAAGTCTAACTCTGCCTAACTATCTCTTCCACATAAATGCATCTGGGGGATTTGTTCTGAATGGTTTTTTTCTCCTTGGCTGGGGGTTCGGGCATTTTTAACTCACTTTCTTTTGCCAGCTTTTTCTCCACATCAAATTTGGTCCAACTGTGTTTTGCTTTCAGAGAGTTATCCTGTTGATCCTGACAGATGGGCAAGGCAGGCTCCTCAGCATTTTATGCAATGTCTTTCCAACATTCTTTAGGGTTGCAAAAATAAACAAGAGCCAGAATTGTAAGCATTTCAAATTCAGACTCCACAATTGATCATTCCGCCCCCCCCCCCAACTTCTTACATACTTAGGTTTTCCACTTACCATCATATTGGTTCTTAATTTCACTTAAGTACCTTACTTTGTATTTTAAGACAGCTAGAATGTATTTGTTCAGACTGTAGTAAAAAGAATTCTTTTGTTTTCTTTTGTCTTCTCAAAGGTGTCACTGTGTTACAGGATATACAGGGCCCCAATGTGAAGTGAACATTAATGAATGTGAATCCAATCCCTGTGAAAATCAAGGAACCTGTATGGATGCCTTGAACTCGTACGTTTGTAAATGTCCTCCTGGCTTTACAGGCAGCCGTTGTGAAACAGGTACCCAGGATTAAAGTATTAGCAAACAATAGCAAACCTATCTTGGCAACAATACTGCAGACTTGAACCGAAACCAGATGCTTCCCAAGAATATAGCAGATTTTGCAAATCCCAGTGTTCTGCCCCGGGCAATGAGGTTCTGCTCGGGCAGCCAGTTAACTCCACGCTTAGGAATATCTTTCAGATCGCGTTTATTATCAGGCATCCTTAATAGCAAAATTTACAGTTCAGTGTTAAGATTCTTCTGACTTTCCATGATC